ACGTTAAATGATAACGGAAATGTTAAGAGGAGGGCTGATTTGCCACTGCAGGGGAGTTGAGGGGCTGATTTGCGCGTGAAGTGGGTTGAGGGGGTGATTTGCCACCACTTGTTGAGTTTAGGGGCTGATCTGCACCTTTTGCCTTGAAAATACGAGTACCTCTCTCTTCTTCTTCTTCCCTTCCTCTCCAACTTTTCCAACCCAAACTAGGACTTAATTTTGTACAAGTGAATATTGCAGTAGTAGTTGTTTGATTTTCCTCCTCTTCTTCTTCCCATCCTATTATTTCCTCCATCTCCTCGCCATACGTTTTCTGTATTCCTCTAGAACAAAGCATCTCACAGGTAAGGAGGGGAAGAGATGTCACCGGTGACGAAGGCAACGAAGGCGAAAGTAGAGGTTTATTACGGTGGTGAAACATGCAGCGCGAAATTCGCTCTGTTGTTGGCGGAAATGGGGTTCCCGAACTGCCTGCTGACGGTGCTGGACATGTAGGAGTGCGGGTACGTGAAGGACACGGGGTTTGTTGTTTGGCCCCGCCACAAGAAGAATAGGGAATATTACAAGTTTGAGGACACAGTCATCAGTTGTGATGCTGTGATTACGGTAATTTTCAGCCTAACAAGATTAAGAATCTGACGGGCGTGAAGGCCAGGGAGTTCTTGGTTTGGATCAATTTGACTGAAATTTGTGTGGCGGAAGGAGATGATTCTCTGGCCGGTTTGTCCAAGTCTTTTCCATTGTCTTTGTTTGGAGGAATCAAAGCTCAAACATTGGTTTTCAGAAAGGAAGTTGCTGGGTCAAACGAGGGAAACTGGTGCAACAAATTGAAGTTGTTGGGGTTTTCTTGGGAAAGGGTGGAGAGAGGACTTGGAGGAGAAGGAAACACCCGGAGTTACCTCTTCTGGTGAGGTGAAAACTCATTTTCTTTCATTGATATTCTGCTGTAAATAGCAAAAACAATACAATATAAAACAATACTTTTCTCACCTAATATTTACCTAATGCAAGAAAATCTATCAAACATTTAAGGTAGTATTATATTCAAAAGATTTGCTACCATTTTGTGCAGCTCCATGTGGCTGTCACTTTGCCGCCATTGTATTGCAGCTTTGACACCACAACTACAACAGAAGTTGTAAATTTATATGAAAGGAAAATTGTTTACATCTATTCGTGTTCTTGTTTTCTTTCGTACTACTTTGTTTCTGTAAATGTAAAAATTATTCTGGGGAGCAAAGATATCCTCAACTAAAGTTGTAGAAGATGCCGGAGTAATGGATTATCCTTATCCTCAACTAAAGTTGTAGAAGATGTGGCAAAATGAGGCAAAGTTAAAAAATTTTGACGGTGAAAATGACACCAATCTGCTTGCTGAATCAAATTAAATCACATATATTAATTATCCGAATTTGAACTCTGAATTTCAATGTTCTGAAATTGACAGGGTGCTGATGTCCGAAGCCTTACATGATATATATGCTTCAAGACTCAAAAGGGTATGACTTATTTAGTAATTCTAGGGATGCAATACCATCAGCATCAGCCAGAATGAAAAGCCAAAATACTCTTGGAAGGGATTTCAAACACAAGTTGATGATTTCAAGACTATTTTTAGCCATCCAATCAGCTGTGAAACGGTCGGGCTCCACGTCCTATTATTGGTAGTGCCAGTGATTTTCTTGATGATGTTCCTACGAGGGTGGTGACTGGTATTGTTAATGTTAAGTTCTAAAGCCAGAAGGAGAGCAACGCATAAGGTCCAAAGTTCAGCAAGATCAATGCTGCAATTCTAAAGGAACATGCTAAAACCAGCCATCTAGTTACCATGGATCCAAGAGAAATGGTTGATGATGTTTCTCCTTTTTCTAAAAATGTCCGTCTTTGTATATTCTTCGAAGACTTTGTTCATGAAATTTTGTTGCACTCATCAGGGTCAGGCAAATTAGTATGGAGACTTTGAAGACTACACTTGTTTGGCTTTGAGGTAGAGCTGGTTTGGTCTCACATAACAGGTCCAAGCATATCTTGGCAACGCACTATAATCATAATAATAATCGGCTTCTGGATTGCCTACCTGCAACATGGATATCATCTTAGTACATTATGTTCATGTATGCTTAAGATGTATAAGAAAAGTATCCGCAGTCTAATGGTGTTGATCAATTTTAGCCCCCAATCCAGTAAAGCATAAACATGGGGATTATTCTTACCATAAAACCTTTGAGATGATTAACGTATATTTGTATGTCCTTGTGTTAATCATAGACAAACCCTGCTCCACAAGTTGTGGTCCATAGTGGCCTGCAAGATTAAGGAATGATTTACAGAGCATTTACATAATTATATGTGCAAGTATGAAAGAGAACCCCAAAACTTACTGCCTGCGAAACTCTCTCCTTACATAATTATAGGAAATTATGAGCACTGTCGTCTAAGTCCAAGAGAAACTTTCTCTCTTGTCAAATAAACCCACAAACTTGGTGACAGCAGAAGGCATATTGGTTTAGAACACAACTCTAAACAGGGATTCCACAATAAGCAGATTATTTGCTCCTGCAGGAGAAAGTTGAATTCAGCTATATATCAAACTATCAAACAATTCAAATGTCCCGGGTTTCATTTGAACAGATGGTTGAATTGTACAAATGGAAATATCAAAGTAGGTGAAAATGATAGCAAACCTCTATTTCAATCATATTTATTCAAACAAAGGCAAATTCCTTTCTGCCAACTTTAAGAGGATCTGACTCCACAGCACAGCTGCGTTGTACCCTATTGAGGAACCAGCGGGTACTTCAACAGCGAAAGGACAGTTATCCAATTAGACCATACCCAAAGCACCTGAAAAATAAAAAGGCTAATTTTTATACCAGCTTACATATACATTCATATAACCTCCATTAATCTCATCCTCGTACAAAGAAATCCCCAATGGCCAATTCTTCAAGCAAACTTGTTGCCATAAGGTTAAAGAGTCCCTCAGCCAACATGGAGAAAACATAGTACCAATGATCAGGTAAACAAATAACAGCCATGACATCCATTAATGATCACATTGGAGAAAAGACAATATTAAATCCTCTAAAATAGAATCTAAAACCACTTAATCTTTGATGAAAAAGTGCAAGCAATTAATTAACAATTTATTGGGACCATGACACAGCAACTGATGGATCACTCTATTTTACTAAAAAGAAGTAAATTGCACAAATTTAGAGTGCTGCAACTAGTGCCAAAACTTCAGTGAGATTTGAATTAGCAACG